TGATATTGAAGATCCTAATTTTAAGCACCCAGCTTTGAAAATTTTGGCCTGTATTTTTAGCCTGTGTAGGGCTGCTAGTGATATCTGCAAACCACTTAAATGTTGCCCGTCTGCTTTATTTTGTCAGTATAAACTTTAATTTTAAAAAGTGCAGCCTTCTTGTACAATTGTGGCGGGAGGATGTATTAAATTCACATGCATCTACGGCGTTCACTTGGACGCTCACAAGCTAAGACTGCTGTGCGGTTTCAGTCTCTGGCTATTTTCAAGCATTCATAAATTTCTGAAAATTTCCCATGTTTAATGTTGGCAGGAAGGTAAAGTTATTTAGAAAGTTTGAACAAAATTCCTTTTGAGCAGGTCCCATTATTAGAGTTAGGAGAGAGTTCTTAAAAAATTGGTGCTGTGCATAAGCAGTGAAAATGTGAAATACAGAGGAACTCGGTTTGGGTTTCAAAAATATCACCTGACTCCTAACCTGTGCTCCCTGCGGAGCCCCTTCCATCGCCCTGCAAATCCTGTACCATCAGGATGGTAGACTAGATGATAATTAGTAACACCTAGATTTTTTCATCCATAGATCTCAATGCTCTACAAGAGAGATCAGTACCATTATCCCTGTTTTGCAATTGGGGAAACTGAGGCAGAGAGAGAGCGAAATGACTTGTTTGAGATCTCTTAGCAGGCCAGTGGCAGAGCCAGGAATTGAATCTAAGTCTTCCAAGTCCCAGTCCAGTACTCTGCCCACTTGACCATGTTGCCTTGTGGCTTCATTTCAATTTAAATGGTTTGCTGAAGAAGGGCCTAAGTTGAGAGCTCTGTTTTGAAGTCTACTTTACTGGATGATGATCCTCTTGCTGCCTCGCTACCCAGTTACCATCATCATCAAACTAATCCTCTTGGGGCCAGGATCCTCCCGGCATGTACAGCATGGGGTGATTCATAGAGCACCGCAGAACTGTGCAGCGCGTCACAGGCCTGTAAGAGGCCAGAGGTCAGATTCTGTTCTCCCTTGTTCGTTATAAATCCAGATGGACCCACTGACTTCAGGGGAGTTCCTCTGGTGTGACACTGGGTATAAGAGCAGGGCCTGGCCCAACATCCCTTACCCCCCGATTAGACTTCTAAAGCAATGGAAACAATAGACCAAAATGGATTTGAAGAGGAGAGAAAGAGGCATGGGTGAGGAGAGAAAGTGAACAACGGGAAGTGAGTAAAGTCAGCTTCTAGGCTGGCAGAATTTGGGTGGAAGAAGAGCATGCAGTGAGCAACAGGGAAGGGCTGTTGTACGTGGTGAACGACGGTCGTGCAGAACAAATCAAGGTAGAAAACAGTGACTGTTTGAGGAAAAAAAACATTGCAAAGCACTCCAGAGATTCAGTGGTAAGGTGCTACACCAGACTGAGACCACAGAGACGCTCCAGAAAAATCCCTGATGCCATTAGCCCCCTCCTAGCAAAGTGTTTAGTGTATCTTGGCAGATATGCAGCATGTGACTCCACGTAGGACTGGTACGACAGGAAGAAAATGTGGATTTTGCCAGGTGTTTAGAAAGGGGGGTGGGTTACAGTCTCTGAGGGAGTGTGAATTTATACCAGGGTCTGAGAGACTTCCGTGGAGGGCGGAGAGGATTGAAATACTTCATAAGAAGGATAGGAATTGATCAGAAGAAATACTTTACATTTGTAGAGAGCCCAAACATGGTGTCATGTTGAGGCAGGAGAGGAGAAAGATGCGACTGCTTCACAGCAAAAAAAACACCACCAAGGTAAGCAGCGGCAGTTACCGAATTTCCTTAGTGCTGGGGTTTCCCCACTCCCCGCCCATCCTTTAAGGGAGGTGGCCCTTCTGTTCTCTCTCCTGCACGCTCCCTGCAGCCTCACTTGAGAGCAATAGATCTGAGATCAGGCCGAAATAAACGACATAACCGTACTTTGCTTTTTTTCCCAGAGGTTTAATTTCGCTTTCCTCCCACAGGCTCCCTGAAACGTTTTCACTGGTTGCCCTCGTGTTTCTGAAATCAGCAGGCAGCACCATAAATGGCCACTAAACCAAGTAGTTAAGGACTGATCTTAGCGCTATTTCATAACGTGGACCACTTCTACGGGTGGCTAGATTCTCCTGTCGACACCTCCCTGTCTAGTCCTGAGTCCACGCTTTCCACACAGCAGCTGTAGTACTTGGTGATATAAAAGAAGGATACAAAGACAGTAGTAAGAGAGCCAGGTGAAAATAAATGCGTGTTAATGTAATAGACAAAGCGGCTTTACTATATATTTTTTTCCCCACATGTCCCATCTCTGCTGTTTGTTGCCTCTCTCAGTGAATTTATTGGTATACAAGCTCCTCTCTTATCTCTTTACAGTTTGGGTCTGTCCTCAGGCTTGATCATGGTTGAATTTACACCAAAGAAGTGCATGAAACAGCTGAGCAGGGAGTTGTTGGGTTTTTGTTATGTTCAGTTTAGTTGTTCCACCAAAGCCTCTGGAAATCCTGAGTGTCCTGCCCTAGGCTAAAACTAACAAGCATTCAGGCTTGAAGGCTGGCGGATGCTTCACTGTTGTTACTGAAGGCGCTGCTCAGGCCTTCTGGAAATGCTCTGCTGATCACAATATGAGAGCTGTAGGTCTGAGAAGTAAGTGTAGGTCAGCTTGTAATGAGTGACCAAGGAAAAAAGACGTGGGACCAAGAATGGCGCACATTGTCAATCTCCTCGCACTGAGGCGTTTCCCACAGTGTGCTGGATGTGGAAATACTGACACTAACATTTTGGCAGGTTTTTGCCCTACTGAAATCAAAGGCACAGCTCTGTAGACATGTGAGAGAGAGACTGGGTTGGTTGGTTTGCTTGTCAGCCTCTTTTAGAAACAGGAAAATGTCTAACAGTTGTAAATGGGCCAGTTATCTTTTGATTTTTGCAGAACAACTACCTGGAAATTTTGAAGGACTCTTCAACTCTTATCACTTCCCTTCGAAAGTGATGTCAGGGTTTTCGTGCTTCAAAATTCTACATCGCGTTTGAGCTACGGGGATGTGGTAGGGACAGAGCTGTGAAGGACTTTGATGTGTCTCGGTGATTCTAGATCAATTTGGCTCAGTTTACAAGCGAAGAAGAGCTCTGAGAGCCAGGCTGTGTTTTTTCAGGCTCATGCGCTGCTAATAATAAAGGTTCTGCAACTGGATCTTAGTTAATAACCTGTTTGGTGAGGCAGGACAAAGAAAATAATCCCACTCCCTCTCGAAAGCTGTGTTAAAACTGTAGGAATAAAAAGCAGCAAAATCTTTCCCATTTGACTCTGAATGCACAGAAGGATCAGATCTGGTAAGAAATTAGATGCTTTTTTTTTCCCCAGTCACTTTTTCACCATAATTACTCTCAGGGCCACAGTCCCACAAGTTTCAGAGGGGTAGCCATGTTGGTCTGTATCAGCAAAAGCAACGAGGAGTCCTTGTGGCACCTTAGAGACTAACAGATTTATTTGGGCATAAGCTTTCGTGGATTATAACCCACTTCATCAGATGCATGGAGTGGAAAATACAGTAGGCAGGTCTAAATATACAGCACATGAAAAGATGGAAGTTGCCTTACCAAGTGGGGGGGTCAGTGATAACGAGGCCAATTCAGTTAGGGTGGATGTGTCCCACAAGAGACTCAGCTTGGGAGTCTGATCGGGCAGTGCTGAGACCTATAATAATTTTTTGGCTGTCTCTACTACAGGGCAGATTTTTTCCGTGCCGTGTTCTAAGGGCCCGATCCTGCCTCTTGTAGGGTCTGGCTCTGAACAGTGTCCCTTAATACATGTGTTAATGGATTATACCTCACGATCGGACCTCTTTTTTTCTGTGTACATTTTATGGATGCAATTGTTCAATTTTGCTCCGTTTAAGGAAGCACCTGCTATATAATACTAGTGTCAGAGACCTGCTGCATCATTATTTCAGTGTGGAATGGAGACAACAACTGGTGATTAGAACCAGGCATGGCATAGAATTTTGCTTCAAAAATAGCTTAATATGGTGGTGGTATTTCCTCCTGAGAACACTAAGGAAAAATGCCTGGAAAACAGCAAAATTGTGTGCTCTGCGCACGAAACCCCTGCAATCCCATCCTGGCTGTGCCCCTGATTTGGCTAGGCAGCCTACAGCGAGTCCCTTAACGTGCGTGCCTCTGTTTTCCTGTCTTGTTAAATGGTTGTGATGCCCCCAGCACAGGGCGGTTAGGAGATTTAATTACTGATTATACACCGCTTTGAAGATTTAAAATGCTTTATAAGGCACAAGTAGTATTAGTGACTACAAATGATTGAAAGGCACCAGAATGTGTAATTTTTAGCTAACTAGAGTGAACTGGTCACAGAATAACTTTATTTTTCTCTCCTTATGGCCACCTCTTATGTTCTGTTCATAAACCAGGCAGTTAATACAGCTCCTTGTATCTTTTACCTATAACCAGTTGAGTAGTCTGCCATCAAAAAAAACATTTTTTTAAAACCTTGTAATCGGCCTGATTCTTCATTCTTCATTGTGGCAAACAAGTAACTCCACTGACTTCAGTAGTTACTCCTGTTTTACACCGGTGTAAGTAAGAGCAGGATCAGGGTCAGTAACTGAAAATGGATAAGTTGCATCAATGTATGGTTTGGGGGCAGGGACTTCCTGTAGCTTGCACTGCAGACGAAATGTGCTCATGCAAATTGAGGAAGCCATTCGCTATATAAAAGTGTGTCTCTCCCCTTCATCAGATCTTTTCTGAGCCAGTCCAGGAACAGCTGAATTGACTGAGACAATTGCTGTATTAAAAGAAGGGCAGAGGCAGAGCTGTTTTTGAAATTAATGATGCGATCAAGGGAGAGTTTCAGAGTTTCAGTTTTCAGAAAGTCCTTCTGTTCCTGGCCTGTCCCAGTGAATCCGATTGGCACCCAAGTGATAAAGTAAGCAGGGTCTCCTTTCAACTAACCTGGTTTGGGGAGGAATGACTTGAGCACTTCGTTTTTCTGCAGGAAGAGGAACAAAAGAAAGCAAAAGAAGAAAAGGAGCAGAGGGAGCACGAAGAGTACCTCAAGCTGAAGGAGTGTTTTGTAGTTGAAGAGGAGGGTGTCGAAGAAGCAATGACCGAGGAAGAGGTATGTTGTGCTGTCACTGCAGCCAGAATTCCTGGCTTCCCATCTAGCTTCCTGAGACTGAATAGATTCAGCTGTTTAAATTGTCCTGATTGCATTTTATCCCCTTATGGTTTCAAAAATCAAAACAGAAAAAACCCACCCAAACCATTCTGAATCAAGTCCTGGGTGAGTTACTTCTAAAAATAACACTTGGATGGGGTGTGCTGAGTGCACATAGGAATTTTTTTTGCCTTTAAATGACAGATCTTGTGTTTAGTAAATGTGAACCGAGAGCATTATAGGAGAACATTCGAATTCTTTATACCAACCTTTAGATTTAGAGAGAAATGCGAAGGGGCAAATTCAGCTCACGTGGAAAGGAGTGCAAACGCCCAGTGGGGTTCCACCTGCTTACAGCATGGGTGAATTAACCTAGGAGTTCTGTAATCCAAATGCCTTCCTAGGGTTAGAAACCCTGCAGTACAAGCGCAGAAAGTGCTGCTAGAAGGGCAGATAACTGTGGAAGAGAGCAATGCCAAAGGCAGAGTTTGATTCCAAAATAGCTGCCAAGTATGTTTTAAGTCCAGCTTCAATATCTAAGGGGTTGAATTATCACTAAATCAGGGGAATGAAACTGAACTAAAGCTGATTTTAAACGTAATTTCTTAAATGAGGCATTAAAATGCCCATATCTCGTGTGTTTCTGGTTGTGTGGTGTCAGAACTGTACACTCTGTGATGGAAGTGACTTGCTAATTCCTTACCCTCTGCATAGGACTGTAGCACTCTATTATGGCTGCATATAAGCATGTCTTTTGGCTGCTGCTGATAAAATGTGGTATTTCACATCGTGGTACCTGATTTTTTTTCTTAATGTTGCCACTGTGGAAGGCAAGATTCTCATTCATAACCCATCAGAGACTAAATGGTTTGCTTTGTTTTAATGTTAAGTGCTATAAAATAATGACGGGAATGGAGATCTTGTGCTCCCGATGTTTGCAGCTGAATGCATTTGATGTTAGCATAACATTTTTTTAAGTGTGAAAAATTCTTACGCTGCTGCGACCCCAGTTTGTTCAGTGGGGTGGCATCAGTGTAAATCAGATTGATACTGGTGATTTTTTTTTCTCTCCCTCTGTCCAGCCACCCACTCTAAACCAAAGGAGCATTCTTCATCATGGCTCTAAATTAAGACTAATAGAAGTCATGCCACGTTAGTGAGGGTGGAATAGATTTTCAGAGGTTCAAAGGGCAGTTTGGTGCCAAGCGCCTACTGAAAGTTAGTTTGACTAGGATGCTTAACTTCTATCAGTTCCTTTTAAATCTACCCGTACTGTGCCATTGGCATTTCTGAACTTATGAGTAGTAGTGTCTTACAACAGCAACAAGTGGCTAAAACAGACTTTTTCCATCTGTTTGTAAGTTACACGCAGTGCTAAGCAGCTGTGCCAAGTATACCACAGACGCTCTTGGGAGATCAGTTACGGCTAAGACAAAATTGTCCCATGATCAGGAGTATATAACTTGGTCACATTAATTTGTTCGGGGGGGGGCAAAGGAATCTGTGGTGTATAAGATCCTAGACCAGGATGGCTATTGTATGTAAATGGGAGCAGAGAGGGGCTTTACTTGCTTAAGATGGAGGTTGGGGGCCTTGTTCTCAACTTAATGTTTTTTTTATAAAGTACATATTTCAAATGCCTGTTAAACAAAGACATTCCAAGATACACAGTTCTACAGAGCTGCTGTCAGTGCTAACGTGGCTGGAAGGCTGTAGGCTTTCTGCCTTGTGCTTTACGAGGCATCCAGTATCCTGCTGCAGTCACGTGCTCTGTCACTGGTTATTGGTTACTAGTCAATTATTGGTTACCAACATCCTCAAGCTCGAGTGTCTAGAATTAGGCACCTAAATCTGTAGTTAGGCAACTAATATAAATGACTTAATAATTTCCAGAGGTTCTGAGCACCGGCATCTTCCATTGACTTGAATACAAATTTTGGTTGTGCAGCGCCTTTGATGATCAGGCAACTTTTATTTAGATGCCTAACTATTGATTTAGATGCCTAACTTTAGGCATCCAAGTTTAAAAGAAATTGGCTCCAGTTTCTCTTGTGTGATGAATAGTCCAGGCTAAATTCTGCCCTTGGATGCATCTGAGCAGCCTCCCATTAATATCACCCCACACCCTGCCCTTCACACATCCAGAGGGCAAAGTCTGGTCCTCGGTGTTCGTAACTTACTAGAAGGTACAAAAAGTAACTTGGTCTCAACGTGAATGTGACACGCTACCTATGACATAGACATAAAGAAGCTAGAAATTGGATATTTCCACTCTAGTTGGACAGGTATAAATATATATATATTTTATTTAAATACAGACACCTTGAGCCTTTTTTTGATTTCAGATAAATCAGTGCAAATTCATAGATGATATTAACTCCAGATTGACACTGGTGCAACGAATGAGAATCTGTCCCCGTGCAGTGCCTTGTACAATTAAGTCTATTTTACAGTCCTTGTTTTTCCATCAATTTGCAGACACATTTGATTTGACTTCTGTTCATTTGAATTAATAACTTGTTTTCCTTGCTGTATCCAGTCCCATAGCTTTCTAACGGAATTTATCAACTACATTAAGGTAAGCTACCATTCCTCTTTCTTTATATCCAGTGTGTGTTCCTTTTATTTATTCTTTTATTTATTGTGAAAACGTTTATTGGTGGAGAACAAAAGGAAACCCGTTTGTTAATATCTAGGTGGATATTTAATAAAACAAGTATCCAAGCAATCCATGGACTTAAACTACAATGTGCGTTTGCTCTTGCAGCTCACAAATGTGTGACTAACTGCTGGAGTAGTTCCTCCCTCTCCTTTTATCTCGTAGCCATATTTTGGCACTTATATGCACGTCAGTGGCTATTGTATCCCAGTCACTGAAGTCAACACGTGCACCCAACACGTGCACCCAGGAGTTGAGTTGGTACCTTGGATACTTAAAGTAAAACTCTGGAAATGTTTACATAGAATTTTACTCGCCTGTTTGCTTTGGGATAGTGTTCTAGATAGTCCAGTTTAAGCAGATCACTTTAGGAACATGTAATTTCCTTTTAGAAGTTATCAATAACTGAGCATTTCATTCCACCTTTAAAAGACCTTCCTAGTGTAATCTGGACTTGGCAGCAATGACATCTATCTTAGGGTCTGTCTACCCTGCAGTTGGAGCAAAAGTACACGCACCATAGCAGCATTGATCTAGCTAGCTCAAATACCAGTAGCAGTGAAGCCACAGCAGCAGAGGCTAGTTGCCAAGTAAGTACCCAGCGCGGGCTTGTACAGCCCACGCTGTTGCTGCATCTTCACTGTTCTTTGTACACTGCTAGATCGGAGCTAGCTCGGGTGCTGAATTGCATCTCTGACTGCAGTGTAGACATACCCATAGTCCTTGGAGTAAAATTTCTGAGTCTTGAATAGAAAAGTTACAATATTTTAAAAAAAAAAAATTTACCTAGCCAGTTTCTCGGTGCCCAGTCCTGTGAGGTGGTGATTGCCCTCAACTCTCATAGAGGTGAGTGGTAGTTGAGGACACTCCCTACCATGCAAGATTCGGCCCTGAGTTTGTGAATGTTGAACGCACAGTAATGATTTTATTTATTTTTAAAGTTTAATTCACTGGTTCCATTGCCGTTTAGTTCCCCTCCCCCCCACTGCCGAGTGAGAATGAGGATTGCTGAATTTATGTGGTGTCTGTTGTACCACGTGCATTTTTTGATCCTCTTGAAACACAAGCACAGTAAAGGTCACATAAACCTCTCACTTGATTTCCTCTCTAACTTCTCTACCCTTGAGATGCGTGGCAGTGTCTTAACCTTTAGAGAGGTGTTGTAGAAAAGATCACTCGTTAGGCTTCCTTTTAATAGCATTGGGGAGCTTCATTTTTAAAGTTTGGGGTATTTGTGGTGATTCGCGCTCTCCAATTAAAATAGAAGCCTCAACTTACATTTTAATTGGCATTTACATTGTCTGTCTGAAACCGGAGAAACAATAACAGTGTGTGACTCTGAGACCTGAAAGCTAAGATGCTTGGTTCATGTGAAACCATAAACTCAGCAAGTGGGACATAAACACATACAAAAGGCCCTGATTCAGAAAAACATCCCAATTGAGGAAGGCACTTGAGCACATGTGTTGCTGAATAGGGATGGACAGCAGAATTGGGAGCAATATTTTCTTTAACATTTTTAACTTTCTCTTTAGCATGAAAATATACTTGGTTTAGAGAAGACAAGGGCAGCATGCAGTCCCTCCTAGCTGGCTATGTTATTGCTTTTTCAGAAGGAATGACTTCTCTGCTGAAACAGTGCTAATCCGGCAGCATCAGTCTGAAAGCGTCTGTCACGTGGTCTTAAAGAGCAGCCGATGCCTCCAAAAAAAAAAAATTGTAATTTAACCTTTCTGTTGAGGAAGCTGTTCTGCTGGTGTCAGTTTGAGAGTGGCGGCAGCTTGCTTCATATTTTATTCTTAGGGACGTTTTACATGAAATGTAGACTCTCTTCGGTTTGTTTTTTGGGGTTGGGTTTTTGTGATTAAGATTGGGTTTTACAACAGACCCAAAGGGAGTGAGGCACCCAGATCCCATTGAAATTAGATGGAGATTGAGCGGCTAATTCCCTCAGGCTCCTTTGAAAATCTCTTGGTTATTAAATTCATCTGCAGCTCCTAAAGTCTCAGGCCTCTGTGATCCTGCGCGCGCGCGCGTGTGTGTGTGTGTGTGTGTGTGAAATCAGTGCCAAAAGCGTTTCCATTCCCCAGCAACCGATTGTGACGTTACAAACTGGGGTTCTGGCTTTTGAAAGAGATGCAGTAGAGCAACAGAAAAGCTGCTGGGTTTGAACCTGGTGCCAGAGCCGTGCAGGCCACTTCACAAAAAGGAGGACTCTGTGGGCCCAACTGGAACTTTACAAATTAATTGGTGGCAGTTTGCAAGCTGCAGGGAGGCTCGGATCATGGGAAGTAGTCCCACCGGAGAAGGATGAGCAGGCAAAGTGCAGCCTAAAATGCAAAGAGAAACCTACACGTGCACCTCAGACTGTGCCTCGGCCCATTAAACCATTTCCACGTGGACTCCCCGTTTCAAACCTCTGAGCAGCTTCAGTTTGTTTTTAAAAAGAACCTGTTGCAAAAATACCAAAAGAGGCTGGGGGATAAATCCTGAGTGCACGTAAGTGCGCTCGCACGCGCTCTCTCTCTCTCTCTCTCAGAGATAAGGTCAAAATCCTACTCCCCTTATTCACTTGAATCCTCCCCTGGATTACAGTGGGATTCATTGCATAAATAACCGGAGCAGGATTTGGCCGTAATTTAGAGTTTCTGACCCCAGTTCAGCAAAGTACTTAAGCACATGCCGGCCTATTGAAATTAATGGAACTGCAGCGTGTGTTTTTGGAAGTTAAGCACATGCTTAAGTGCTCTGCCATGACTCAGGCCTCAAGCTTCAGTGACTGTATTTCTGCAAAAGAGAGCCTCGATTTCCTAGAATACCAGCCATGAAGCGATTAACCTGGAAAGCTTCCAGTAAACTGTTTCAGTAGTTAGGGGAGGACTGTTTTTAAGGGAAGACTTAAATCCTCTTTTCTCATTTAGTAAGGGGTTGGGGGTGGTTTGGTTTTTGTTTTTTTGCCCCCATCCTTTAAAATGAAGATGTGATGATCCATAGCAGTTCCCAGCTCTGAGAACTGAATTCCATGGACTGGTTTCAGTTCTGTATCTTCAGTCCATGGTAGTCAGTTCTCTAGCTTGGCTGTATCTAACTTCACAACTAGTAAGTCTGTGGGTTTTTTGGTTTTGTTTTCCTTAATGAGAGAGGGCATGACTGTATACAACCTGTTTATTTCCCAGATGTCCATTCAGGTTAGAGTTGCTGTGTCCTTAAATAAGTCCAAATATAAACGTTATCATTCTGAAACTGTTCTGTCCAATGTAAACAGAATACTTGCATCTGAAATTATAAAGCTCCGCAAGATATTGCCGTCCCACCATACTGGAAGGAATAGTGGCCTGGAACTAAGAGAATAATACTTAGCACCTCTATAGCCCTTTATATTTAAAGTTCCTTACAAGCATTAATGCATCTTTACAGTGCATTTAGATAAATGAGATATTAACCCATTTTACTGATAGGGACATCATGGCATGGAATGTTGAATTCCCGTTTCACCAGTGCATTGTACGACTCCGGTCTTCTTCTGTGTAACTCCCTCTGGTTACGTCAGTGTAAGACTAGAGTAAAGTGGTGAATCAGATGCTAAATGACTTGGCTAAAGTCACACACGGAGTCCGTGCTAACGCCAATTAGAAAATTCACGAGTTCTTTTGCTCCCAGTTCTGTCCTCAGTCCACATTGCGCTGCCCCTCGACCGAGCACTAGGAGTACATCTCTAATTATGAGAAACTAGATAAGGGATTTACTTGCTAAAGAAGGTCATTAAGGCAACAACACTAGTGTTGCGGGGGGGGGAAGCAGACAAACCACCCAAGAGCTTAGTACACCAGAAGGTCTGGCCCAGTTCTCCTTTTTTTTAAACGTAATCTGCAACATCCCAAACTGAAGTGAAAAGGAATAGGTTTGTGCAAACTGAAAGCTTACGTTAATACTGGTGGGGAGAGATATAGGTTGCAGGAAGAACAGTCAGGCGCCTTTTATGAATAGCTGCACGTCAATAGTCAAAAATGTTTCTGCTTATCTTGCCTCTCTAAGAGATTGGTCAGTGCTTCATCCGCAGGTGGAAAAGAGCCTCTAATTTCTCCGTAAGCAAAACTGATTTAAATAAATGATTCAATTCCGTTGTTTCCCAAGCAGGAGAGTTGGCTAGGAATTGCGAACTTGAATTCTAGTTTCTCTCCCACTAGATGCCTCCTGCATATTTCTGTGGCCAAACAGATAAAAAGCTAGTCCCCATTCTCATCAGCTGCTTATAACTCTTTGTTTCTGTAGAATGCAAAGGTGGTTCTTCTGGAAGACCTGGCTTCCCATTTGGGGTTAAGAACCCAGGTAAGCATTACAAGTCAGACCTAATACACCAATACCAATAATGGGAGTGTGAGCAAATTGCGTAATTTCCATGTGACTCTTGGTGGTCCTACTGAAAATACTTGGGTTTTGACTGAAGTTCAACAGAAGGGCCACCCTAACGGAATTCATTGGAAGAGCCATCCAGCCAATAACTTCATCAGCCAATGAGTCCTTGCCATGAAGGAGCATGCTGAGAATGTCTTGTACTTCTTGCTGGTCGCTGGAGCTGTAATCCCAGCCTTTCTTTGTATCCAGCACACGCTTGCGTGCTCTCTCCTAGGATACTTTGGGCTACAGAGTCACATAAAATTATAGCTACGAGCATGGTCATTGTTGGATAGGGTGAAAGCTGCCCAGATGAGTGGGGAAAATTACAACATTGGCCATACTGTTTCATGTACAGTAAAAGAACAGATATTAGTTATTTTTGTCCCCAGACTCATTTATTGCTGGCATTTCCCTCCCACACTGCCCCTTTCCCCAATTTATAGCCTGCTTAAATTATTTTTAAATGTTACATGTTTTTAGGATGTGTTTTCTTATTAAAAACAAGCAACCTCACCCCTGCAAAACCTATGAAGAACCTTCCAAGGGAAATCTTGACCTTGCATTGTACCTTTTGGCCTCTGTCCTCCATTTTTCTTTCTTCGCTCCTCCCCGCACCCAACCTCCCCGGTCTACATTTGTCTCTTTTCCTGTTCTGCCTTGGCTCTATCTGCAGTTTGGGGAGGGGCCACGTATTTGATTTGATTCTGACATGCCTAGGACATGTCAGCTGCTCTATAAATAATAAAAACCCTTGGAGTTACCCCACGGATAAATTTGGCATGTTACCTTTGGGGCCAGTGGAGAACACAGCAGACTTTAAGCAGAACAAATATATTTTCATTACTGTATTTGGGCCAGATCCTTAGTTGGTGTACATAGACATGGTTGCATGGTCTGGCCCTTTTGTTTCTGTCCACATACACCCTTCTTTGTTAATGCTCAAGAGGTCTCTATGCAATCCCCTTCCATGAAATATGTTAATCATACCTCTCGCATTCAGATAAGTTTGCAAGAACAGCCTCTTGTGGGGAGGGAGCTATTTGCATACACCGGGTTACAGAGGCTGACCGCATCCTGACTAAGACAAAACCTTGTCCCGATAACAGGCTTATCGGTTGCATTTGTGTAGAAATGCTGATATGCATGTTTCACCTAAATATTCTGCTCTCAAGAATAAGACATGAAGCACAATCTCTCTGATATGCCTGGAAATGTGAGATCTCTCTTCTTTTAACTGGTTCTTTTTCCCACCCCTCCAACAGGATGCATTTGTGTAGAAATGCTGATATGCATGTTTCACCTAAATATTCTGCTCTCAAGAATAAGACATGAAGCACAATCTCTCTGATATGCCTGGAAATGTGAGATCTCTCTTCTTTTAACTGGTTCTTTTTCCCACCCCTCCAACAGGATGCAATTAATAGAGTACAAGACCTGATGGCAGATGGCACTCTAACAGGTGACAGTGGAAATGTTTATGGGTTTCTGTTGAGTTGTTTAGTATGTTAATAGAGGATGCAGAAAATGCATAGGACCCCTAAGCCAGGTAGTAAGAAAATGCTTTCTATTGAATTTATCCTGTAATCACCAAGGACTCCTATTTGACTTGATCAATAGATATGTTAATTACCCTAATTTCAGCTTTGAAACTTGGTGGTTTAAAATGGACTGCCATCCTGGAGAGGTGCTCTAGCATTTTTGTACCTGATTATTGTTGCTGTATAGAATTAAAATTAATGCACCTTCACCCCCCGGCAGAGTCTCCACATCAAGGCCTGTGTATCATTTGAGTTCTGCTGAAGCACTGCATACAGGCATTGCTGGGCTGCACAGGTGTGAATTTCATTCTCTCTGAGAGCGAAATTATTTTTGCAAAGAGAACAGCCTCAGCTGAATCGTGTGGGGGATTTCGGGTAGTTTGCAAACCAGTTTTTAAAAAACATAACACCTAGAGCCTAGAAAAGGGACTGTCACGGGGCACCAGTCCTTGGGGTGCGTACAGGCTATCCCAGTGCACTTGTTACAGCTCTGCGGGCCTTTAAAACCGGGAGTGGTAGTTGTGGATCACATGCCTGCTCTTAGTCATGTGCCCTACAGGAAATTGCATATATTTTGGGCAGGAGAAGCAGACAGGAGAGACTGGGTCAGGGAAGGAAGTGGGCGGTGGCTCTCCACACCTGTCAGAAGGAGGCTAAGAGGGAAACAGCAACAGAGAGCAGGAGCTGGTTTGGGGAAGGCCTCTCCAGGGGTCTGGGAAGCCACGGAGACAAGGACTAGACTGTTAGGGTTGCTTTGAATCTTTTGTTTCTAAGTTAATAAAGAAAAACCTGAAATGCCAAATAACCAAAACAAAACAAACCAAACCCTGGAACTGTGCAGCTGTTTAGATAGGATTTCCCTTTCCTCAGCTGGTGGAGTAGCCTACGAACTCGACTGAGACACTGCTAGCCTGAAATCTAATCCCTTTGTCAAAATTAAGTTAAAATAGTTTCTAGTTCTACAAGTGTCCAGTAGAACTTCGGCCAGTGCTTGTCCTCGTATCCCTATTTTTAAGTTGGTGTCCCCTGAATAGATACAATTACGGTAATAGCAAGTGGTGTTCATTCTTGTCATCATTTGACGGGTAGGGAAACGAATTGTCTATGTTCAAGGGAGCTAAATTATCTGAAGGACTTGAAGAGGGTTTGCTACAGGGGGCTAGATAACACGGGGTTAGAGCACTTGCCTTTTAGTGCTGGCAACTTGGGCTACAGTTGTTAATGTGTTACTGTCTTATTACAATAAATAGTAGCAGTACACTCCTTTGATTTTATTATTTATTATATGTGGTGTTCTGCTGCCTCTCAGCCCAACAGAGAGACTATTCTCCTGCGAGCCCCGGTCATGGGCCAGGACCCCGATGTGCTAGGCGCTGTACAAACAGAGAACAAAATGACAATCCCTGCCGCAAAGAGTTTACAATCAAAGTATAAAACGAGACAATAGGTGGATACAGGCAGATAAGGAGTGCAAGGAAAAAAGGAGACGATATTGATCCAATTGACGGGCTATGGTCTCGGCACATCAGCAGCCTAAATGTTAAGTTCTTTGTAGGATTTGCAGCAAAGGAATTCTACCACCTAAGAAACACTCCCTGCCCCCAAGCCCCAGCAATCAAAATAGACGAGACAGACCAAGTATGAGAAGAAGGCACAGAAGTGTGTTTCCGAAGGTCACCACCAGGCCAACGGCAGAGTTAGGAATAGAAGAACCCAAGTCTCCTTGTTCCTAGACCAGTGCCCCTGTCTGCTGGACCATAGTGCCCTGCTAAATCTGGAATTTAGTTTGTGTACTGTAATTGTAGTCCCTGAATTAACTAACAGTGTGGGGTCATTAATGTCTATTGGGGAAACGTAGTTCGCTTTGAAGTATTGACTCCAGGTCACGTTTGTCTTCTAGGTGTGATTGATGACCGAGGAAAGTTCATCTATATCACTCCAGAGGAGATGACCGCAGTGGCTCAGTTTATCAAACAGAGAGGACGAGTCTCCATTGCAGAACTGGCCGAAGCAAGCAATTCCCTCATCAACCTCCAACCTGAGAGCAGAGCTGTCACTCAGAGCACGGCGTGATAATGCATTTCACAGTGTGGGAAGATACTGCAGTAGAGTAATTTAATAACACGCAGGTCATTAAAAAAAATCCCTGTCTATTCATAACCGTGAAAAAGAGATGTGGTGATTACTTCTAAACATGAACTGCAAGACATTATCCAATGTTTTGCTTCTCAATTGATTAGAGTAAATAATCAGAATAAAATGGAGCCACATCTTCCTCCCCCCGCCCCCCCCCCCCCGACC